CTGTACTATACATGCCACCATAAATGAAGCCCTAGATCATGATCCTGGAACTTGTCACACCCAGAGAGACTGATGCACTTGAACAGAACCTCACTGAAGATAATGGGGCTCCACACAGGCATAGCAGTTCACACGAGTGCAAGTTGCAGGATCAGGCCCTTGGTCCACACTGTTCTACTTAATTTTTACAGGTCTATGAACAGTTTTTACTTCAGTAAAGATTCCTCCTCCTATTCTTAAAGTTTCTAGTTGTTCATTAAATTTATTCACCCAGCAGATCTGGTTTAAATGCTCTTCAAACTGTACCAGTGGCATTTCCATTCTGCCATGGCACCTTTGTCACACCATTAAATGTTATTTAAACATGTGCAACTCCCCAGCAGCGATGTTCATCAATGCTCACAACAAAACCCTCTAATATAAACACCCTGAAATATCATTTACTGCATTTTTGCAGTAACACTCTGCAGGAACAGGCACTGCTTAATGGAGCAGCTGGTACGGGGACCCACAAGGGGAGAGGCAACTCTAGATTTAGTCCCGAGTGGAGCGCAGGAGCTGGTCCAAGAGGTAACTATAACAGGACCACTTGGAAATAGTGACCATAATACAATAGCATTCAACATCCCTGTGGTGGGAAGAACAACTCAACAGCCCAAAACTGTAGCATTTAATTTCAGAAAAAGGAACTATGCAAAAATGAGGAGGTTAAACAGAAATTAAAAGGTACAGTGACTAGAATGAAATTCCTGCAAGCTGCATGGACACTTTTCAAAGACACCATAATACAGGCCCAACTTAAATGTATACACCAAATTTAAAAACACAGTAAAAGAACTAAAAAAGAGCCACTGTGGCTTAACCATGTAAAAGAAGCAGTGAGAGATAAAAAGGCATCTTTTAAAAAGTGGAAGTCAAATCCTAGTGACGTAAATAGAAAGGAGCATAAACACTGCCAAATTAAGTGTAAAAATGTAATAAGAAAAGCCAAAAAGGAGTTTGAAGAACAGCTAGCCAAAAACTCAAAAGGTAATAACAAAAGGTTTTTTAAGTTCATCAGAAGCAGGAAGCCTGCTAAACAACCAGTGGGGCCCCTGGACGATCGAGATACAAAAGGAGTGCTTAAAGACAATAAAGTCATTGCAGAGAAACTAAATGAATTCTTTGCTTCAGTCTTCATGGCGGAGGATGTTAGGGAGATTCCCAAAGCTAAGCCATCCTTTGTAGGCGACAAATCTGAGGAATTGTCACAGACTGAAGTGTCATTAGAGGGGGTTTTGGAATTAATTGATAAACTTAACAGTAGCAAGTCACCAGGACCAGATGACATTCACCAAAGAGTTCTGAAAGAACTCAAATGTGAAATTGTGGAACTATTAACTAGGGTTTGTAACCTGTCTTTTAAATCAGCTTCTGTACCTAATGACTGGAAGATAGATAATGTAATGCCAATATTTAAAAAGGGACTCTAGAGGTGATCCGGCAATTACAGACCGGTAAGGCTAATGTCAGTA